TTTCTAACGATATTTACAGGCTCATGGATCTGCAGAAGGCTTCCCCAGTTGCTGAAGGTCGTGCCATGGACTGGACCAGTTACCATCGTCTTGGAGATGTAAGATCATCTTTTTGCATCACCTGCACACAGCCCTATAATTTATTTAAAAAACATTCTATGTTTAAAGTACAATGTTGCTTTAGCAGCGGCATTGTTGAGCAACACTTTGAAAATTGTGTCCCTTTTAAAACGATTCAAACGAATCGATATTTTCGATTATCTAACGAGGAGACCAGTTTGTATCACAATTTTTTTCAAAAAATACCTTCTACAGGCAAAGGTAAGTGAAAATAAGCGATATCTTCTTTAAATTCCGTTTTAAAATTTTACATGTCATGTCCAAAAGGCGCTGGTTTATTGCTGTTTCCGAATATGCTGCTTTTAAATCTGTCTGCGATTGACAGTATAGAGAAGGAAATTTCAAATATGCGTTTTTTATCACAGTGGATGTGTACATCGTGGGGTAATGTTCTAAAATACATTTGCAGGTACTTTACTGGTTAGGTCAGTCGAGGTCAGGCGGTCAATGTTTAGATTGGATATCAGTTGAGCTTAAATCAGACCAGCAGCTAAAAATTTGTTATGCAATTAACTTTTTTTTTTTAATCGCTTCGATTGTCGTTCATCCAGTCTATAAACAGGCACGTCCAGGAGTGCGATAATTGATTATTCAACCTTTATGCTTGAAAAGTCATGCGTCGATTACACGATTAAAATACAAATATACAAAGAACTAAATGTAATGGTTTCCTATTTGAAAAAAATAAATAAAAACTGTATAGATCCATTCCTGGCTCGATGATCTGGCTGCAGCAAATCCCGACACTGTTTCCACCCAAGTCGTCGGCCAAAGTACTCTTGGAAAGGACTTGAAGGTGATTCGCATCAACACTGCTGGTTCCCCTCACAAGTTCTGGATTGATGGAGGTATTTAATGTATATTTTTGAACTATTGGCCGCATTCAAATTTATATAGCTGCCTTAAATGTAGGACACCGTATTTCAGCAAGCAATAACTGCACAGGCGGCAAAAATTGTCCTGGAAAGAAAAAAAAAATTATGAACGATAAATCGAATTAATGTTTTCATAAAACATAAAATTCAATTTGTTGTGTAAAATATTCCCATTTCCTTTTTCACGTTCAGAAAGATTACTTAGCTTTGAAATTCCAGTTTATCGGCTGCCAGCTGGAAAAGGCTTGATACAGTATTTATTTATTCATCCTTTCAGACGTCAAAGAAATTCTTTCTTCCGCTTTTCAATTCCGTATCCGCGCAACTAAAAAAAAATCATCTTGAATTTATAGGCCGCATTCTTCAAGCTCGTATATGAGTTTTAAACATGCATATACTAACCATATGGGCTTACTGATTTTTGAAGGAAGTTCATTGTGGGAAAGTGCGGCCTGTATATATTCGATGAATTGAGAATTAATGAAATAAATTAAACAGATTTGCGCTGAAAATGTGCTGATGTTGACCAGCATGCAGCAATAATTTTGTTGAAAATCCATTCATGAATGAAATCAATGTAAATATTGACCCCCAATTCGGGTTTTCTGTATGAGTCACACACAATTTCACATACGGACAATAGACGTCCTGAAAAATAATTAGCGTGTCAATTACTAACCGAATAGATGAAACTCTCAAAGTTTCTGATGGCTGTAAAGTGCGAGGCAGAAAAATAAGTTAAAAAAAAATAATATTCTTGATACCTTATTTCAGGTATTCATGCTAGGGAATGGATTTCTCCTGCCACCGTGACTTACATCATCAATGAGTTGGTCAACAACTACGAAGCCAACCAGGAACTGGTTGATGCCTATGACTGGTACATTTTGCCGGTGCACAACCCCGACGGTTACGAATACACATTCACCGACGTAAGCAATATTCGAAAACATCATCATATTTTATTCCTTCTAATTGAAGAATATTTGTTGATGTCTTACTGGAAGGGAACTTTTTTTGAACTTGCTGAGTGCAGGTGTCCAGTATAATTTTATCTGTACATCGTTTAATAATACTGTATTGCAAAAAAAGAGTTTTATCTAAATAAAACTTATTTCATTTGCCACGCACTGTGCGTATAAAATAAGGCTCGTGGAAATTGTATCGCGCTTACAACTTTCAATCAAAAATTTAAACGTCCTGGAATCGCGGTTGACTGCTTATTGGCAGCTACATAATTTATACTTATATTTTTTTTACATAAAGTTGCCTGTTTTCACCTATTATATGCGTAGGTTCTCGTGGTAATACTCTCTAATTTTTGCGTGAATTTATCTCTTGGTTATTATGTGGAAAAGGTCTTTTGCAAATCACAAAAAATTAATGAAATAAGTGTATATTAAATGTACCTGTTGTTTACAGGATCGCCTGTGGAGAAAGACTCTGACTGATCATGACTCTTTCTGGGGATGTCTTGGAGCTGATCCCAACAGGAACTGGGACTTCCACTGGATGGGTGAGCATACCTGTGAAAATTTGGAAAGATAGTACTACACAAGTACAGTACTGCTGTCTAAATTCTAAAATGAACAAGTACAGTATACGGCAGCAAAAAAAAATCGAATTAATTTTCAAGCAAAAATAGAAACAATATAGAGTTTATACGCTCGAATGAAAAGTTGGTTATGGAAAGCGTATTCTAGGATTGAAGTTCAGTTGCTTTTTTGTCCCGAAAAAAAAACTTACTAGTGGAACTCAATTTTGCTTAAGGTTGTGGAGTAAATTATTTCATTTGTTTCTAACATTCACCATTAGACCACGATAAACCTTAAAACCTCTGATTTTTCTCCATAATTTTCAGAATAACATTATATGTTTAGAATTGAGTAGTATGAAATTGAAGTAATCAAGGCAAGCTTGTATAGTACTTTTACTTTTCCGAATCACGTGAAATGAGAATTCAAGAGTTAAAATCAAAACTCGCTCAAATTTGAGCGCTGTTTGAACGCAAATTTTTTTTTTTCATGTAGAACGATTTTGTTATCCGAGTCACTTGATTTTCTTTTGTTATGCATGGGTCTTTTTTTTTTTTAATGCGGGGACCCATTATTGTACCAGCATTTTCAGTTAAGTTACGTATAATCACAAAAGGTGGTTATTCCCACTTCCTCACAATAAAGTCGAACACTTATATCATTGGTAAACATTTTTTTTTATTTTTTTTCTTTTGAATATCATGTTTCTCACAAAAAGAAATACAAAATAAAAACCTCTTTGGTGGTTGAAATGGCAACTGGTTTGCTGCATTTCTAATTTCCTGATTTTTTATGTATGTTTTTTTTAAATGGGAAATCCTCTTTAGATTTTTTTCCTGTTGGATGCCTCATTAAAGTGGGCACTGAGCTTGCTCTCTTCCTTTTTCCCAGACATTGGAGCTAGCCAAGACAAGTGCAGTGAGATCTTCGCTGGACCCGAACCCTTCAGTGAGCCTTGCTGCTCCGCCATCCGTGACTTCACCACTGAATTGAACGCCGATTCCAGTGTCCTGGGTTACTTCACGTACCACTCCTACTCACAACTCTGGATGAGCCCTTGGGGATGGACTGATGCCCTGCCCCCAACCTACGACGAGCTGGTAAGGATATCATACTAATTTAGAAAAAGAAAAAAGTCAAGTCTAATACGTACTCCGTTATCAACCAATATTGAGCTACCGCATTTGCTTTTAAAAGTTGGAACGGGTTGCATGTATACGGACATAAAGTTTTCTTTGAAGTTATTTGTACATTACAGGATTTTTTTCACGAAACCGTCGATCATGCAATTTTTGCGTAGCAGCAACGACAGCTAGCTTATCAACGTGTAAACTATTGTAGATATACAGTACTTTATAATATTCGCACTACTGTACTCATATACAGTACTGATGAAGCATGATGTATCGTTGACGCTTAATAATTCAAACCTCCCTAAATAAGTCGAATACCTCATCCCTCTTTTTCAAATCTCTGTCTTAATTACCTTTCCTCAACCCTCTATAACTCGAATTTTCCGGGGTCTATAGGCTATTATTTCATTGATAGCTCAGGAAAGAGAAAAATTTAAAGATTTGTTTTGAAAGGAAATGAGACACTAATTGGGCGAATGAACCCATGCCTCCAAGTTCAGTAACCTGAAAACTCATTCAAGAAGCAAAACAAGGCACAGAATATCACCAATCACAATTTGCTGTACAGTAATTCTTATTTATTTCACCTTAGAAAAATGTTTGTCCCTATATAGATCGATATTTTTGCTGGTCAATTGAAGCTCGATTTGAAGAGGTTCGACTGCGCCTGTGTACGATAGTTTGATTTACCAATTGTAAAGATACCGCATCAGTATTAATCAATTTCATCTGATTTCTTGTGATGGAACCGATGTATCATTGTTTGACCTGATGAACTTTTTTGCTGACGTTACTCTATATTTTCAACAACAAAAAAGACACGCGTTGGAGTCGCCGGCATGAACGCTTTGACGGCAGTGCACGGAACCGATTACGAGTTCGGTACCTCCACCAACGTCATCTGTGAGTTTTCGAAACTTGAAAAGAAAAAATTTACAATTCCACGAACAGAACTGTAATATCGACCAAATCATTCAAAGTAATTGGCATTCTATCTCATGTATATCTCCGAAGTAGTGTGCAGTCCGTGCAAGGTATCTCGAAGGTTAGAAATCTCCGAATTCTGCAATATGCCCATAGGCTGAAAACTCATCTGCCAGGGTGAAATTTGCAACACATTAAAAAAATTGTCAAACAGGGCTGATATTTTTTGTGCCAAAGAATATATGTTTTCCCTAAAGAAAAATTTTTTTTTCAGCTCGATTAGACGCCATTTTCATTTCCATTCCGATAACTTTTGTTAGAACCCTCGTAAGTCCTCTGATAAATGACATTGGAGGCAGAAAATACTGTACATGCTTTCTGACAATTCAGTAATCCTTAACGTTGTTTCTCAACCTTCACGCTGGAAAAAGAATGCTTACTTTAAT